AGCAATTTATTGGGACAAGCAATGCCAGAGCCCCACCAGAACCACCTTCACCAACAACAGCCGTTACAATTGGCACTTTAAGGCCAAACATGGTCCTCAAGTTGTGAGCAATTGCCTCCCCCTGTATAGAGTAAAACATGAAATGGGTCATGTTATTATATGAACTGGGTGTTTCAGACTTCCAAGTGTGAAATATCACAATTTCCAATGTAGAAAGATTGTTTGACAGAATTGACCAAGTTCCCCTGATTTGAGATCAGCTTAGGCTCCAGGAGTGTCAACCATTGTTATAATAGAAAGACCATGATGATCAGCATACTTCATCATTTGCAAAGCCTTTCGATAGCTGTTTGTAAAAAGAGATTTCATATAGTATTTCTTTACAGATCGAATGTAGCAGATAAGATTTAAAACTATTTTCAGTAGGCTTTCTCAAATATTACTGATCACTTCTCTGTTACCTGTGGATCTTTCCTGAAGTAACAACATAATAAAAATCCAGTACAATTCTAATATCAAATAGACATGACATCTCGTGCAAGCTGAGCCTTGAAGTTAATTGTTCAAATAAAAGACCCTTGAAACGTCCTCGTGGGGAGTTGGCATTGCAAAATTGCGAAGAATGTTCTCCTTTGTATTCCTACCTTTCTGCTGGCCTATAAACATGTAGCTCTTACCATCCATGATTCCAATACCAGTTACCATGGCTGGATCATCATAGCCAGCACGATCTCCGTGGAGTTCCACCCACTATATGATTGTAAACGAATAAAACTATAAGAAAATAACTTCATATTCTTTCAGGGAATAAATGCATAAAAACTTTTGTACCATTGAAATACCTTCTCTGTGATATTTAATATATGATCAAGAGCTGTGGGTCTGTTGGGATGTCTGGCCATGATCAGGCGTTGAATAGGTGTCAAATGTGTGTATAAATCTTTCAAAGCCTGATGTTTAGAACAGATGAAAGGTTACAGATATGAAAACAAGCATGAGTAAATGTGGATTGCAATATTAGTAGAATATTTAAGCAACCAGCAAAGGCCTGTGAAAAGATTATTGGGAATGAATCAGTGAACTTCCCACTGTTACGACTGAAAAACTAGGAGCCTAGGACAATGGAACCCATGCCTACATTTTGACACAATAAGTTGAAAACTACCATAAATCTTTAGTTTTATAGGAGAACATACAACTCATAAAATTACACACATAATGAATGACAAAAGTTACTGTACCAGTGATTCAATATTAAACAAGGATTTTGCTAGTGAGTATCCTTAGGGCACTCTTTAAGTCAATAACCTTGTATCAAATGCAAAAGATGACAACTTTATTGATGATTTCCAATACTTAGGGTGAAGATATTACTTCATATACTCACTGGCGGAGCCAATATATATTGAGGGGTGTCACCAAAAATTCCTTAAGGGGCGTTTGGATGGGGGAATGTGGGATTCCCCGGGAATGGAATCCACATTCCCCTGTTTGGTTTGGCCGGGAATGTCATTCCCGGTAATGTTTTATTACCAATAGTGGATTTTTTGGGGTATATTACCGGGAATGTCATTACCTCCCTTCCCTTAGGTATTGTAACATTACCAGCGTTTTGGACTAAAATGCCCTTAAATTTTTATTTTTTTTTCAAAAATATCATTCTTCTGTCATTGAATAATAAAAATTCTACGAATGTTAAATTACAAATTTATCCTTAAATTATTTTAGATTTACAAAAAAAGTCTATAATTAAAATTTTATATGAAGTTCAGGGGTTAAAACAAAATTTTACCCTTTCATTAAACTTTTTTTATATTTTTAATTTTGTAAAAAAATATATAAATATTATGAATTTAATTTTTTAAAGAAAATATATAAATATTTTACAACTTGTAATATTATACAAATATATAATAAGTACAATTTGGTCAAATATACATTCCAATAATCTTTTATTCCTTTAATCAAACACGGTAATCTTACATTCCTGCTAAACCAACCAAACACAAAATACAACATTCCCAGTAATCCTACTCCATGATAATCTTTTATTCCCACTGGTAATCTTACATTCCGTGAACTAAACGCACCCTAAAGAGTGCCCTTGGGTAACTCGTTCACAAAATCCTTAAAACAAGATGAAAAAATGGGGAAAAGAAAACATAAGATTAACCTGTTGATACTTGTTTTCCAAAGCTCCAATTTGAGCAGTAAAATCCAGACCAGTTTTATTGGCCATTCTGCATACCTGCTCAAAATTATTTGAGCAAAATAACAAAGTTATTAAAATTTAGAAAGACTGTATTTTTGCTTACGACCAACAAACATCATGGCATAAGGAAAGAAAGTTGTTCCATTTTAAATTTTTAAGATCAGAAACAAAACAAAAACAATATTGACATAACGTGATAAAGTTGAAAATTTGCCTCTGGATTCACTCTTCATGAATCCTTATCATGTAGCTCTACACAACTAATCATCGTTAAAAGAACATGAACAAAAACATTAAAATGCTTCAAATATCCAGAATAAGTAAACAAAGGAATTGGAAACCAATGAAAAAAAAACTTACCTCAATAATCTTTTTCTCGAGATCAACCAGTGGCTTCTCAAATGGTAGAGGCACCGGTTTCGGTTTCTCATGCAAAGGCTTGAAGTGAGACAGGTAAGTTAAGTATCCATCTTTGATATCCGTATCCGGATCAATATTATCTGGCCAGGGGTAATCATGCTTCTTCCCTTTCTTAACTTTCGCAACAACACTAAACCTCCTCCCATGTTCATTCCTGGTACCTTTTACAGCTTTTGACCCATAGCAAACTGCTCTTCCAAAATATAAGTTTGACCTGAACTCAAACCTTCCATCTTCAACTCCTCTTCCTCTTCCACAATTTCCAGCTATTAATGTATGGTAGCCATCTCAACGATCACCTCGCTTCAAAAGATGAGAAAGAAGATGCTTGTGCTTAGAAATTTAGGGTTAGAGCGAGTTGAGAATGAAGAAAGTCGGGAGCCAACGGTTGAGATATTCTGCTCCAACAACCAAAAAAACAGAATAAGATTGCTTAAAACTTTATTTTAATTAAAAATTATTAAATCAAATGATAACTTAAACTTAACCTTGTGGTCGTGGGATCAAATCTCACAATGGTCAATTTTATAATTCTGACTGCCGAAGGTCTTTCACGGAAGCTGAGACAAATAAAAAGCAGAAGGGCGTGAGGTCACGGACAGTTGTAGAGAAAGCGATGTGGTTGGGCGGTGTGATACACATGCTTGAATTGAAAGTGAAGTTGACAGTGTCTATCCACGTTGAAGATAACAATCAAATTACCACCAAAATTAGAAGTTACCATCTAAGGGCCGGTTGGTAAAGTAAGGGCTCTTGGGATTATGAGTTGGTCTCATGTTCTAAGTTTGAACTACGTTAGTTGAAAATTCTAGAAAAAAACGGAAGGACAGAGTGGTGGATTCTTTGAACCCCTCCGAAAGTTATCTTGTAGGATCAGGTTCTTTAGTCTGACTTTGAGAGATCTTACGTTATAAAAAAAATGGAAGTCTAAACTGAAGGGACCCCACTAGGAACCTACGTTGTCTCATGCAATTAGCGCGCCAATTTTTTGGCTTTAGGCCATTAATCAAGTTATTTATCCATCTAATTTACCTAAAAATATTTTTAAAAATTCCATCTAATTTACCTAATTGTTCGATCGGGTTATTATGCCGAAAGATAGATCATAATAAATATTCTCCTTTCATACGATTTTTGAATTATATTCTCTTTTTTCGAAACATTTCCTAAAATCTATTAAGAATAAAATAATAAAATAGATATTTTAGGATGATGATGTATCAAGTGACGAAATGAAAATTTTGCATAACTAGTGCTTTTAATGGAAGTTTTTCAATTTTGATGATTAAAGTTAAAGTAAACTAAAAGTTCAATGACCATTAATTTAATTTACCCTAAAAATTATTTCAATATCCACGCATTGCAAGAGCATGCTAGATTCAGTTAACATTAGCGTACGAGCAGCCACAAACGAGAGAATAGGGTCCCAGAAGAGAGCTGAAGGAACAGAAAAGTCGAAGAAAGGCCATGTATTGACAGCGTTTAGTATACTTATAATCTAAAAAGACTTAGCTTTGCCATTCAACCATTAATCTCTATGCACGTTCCATCATGCATGCGTCTTATATCTTCCAACCACAACAGCAGCACCCACATCACCAGCCATCCGTCATATGGCTCAATGGGAGAGTCAGCACTCACATCTCCATTCATATGGCTCAATGGGAGAGTCAGCACCCACATCTCCAGTCATTGGTCATATGGCTCAAAGGGAGAGTGCTAGACTGCCGAAGCTCGCTTTTCAGAGGAGTCATCGCTCTTCAAATCCAACTCTGATTATTTACTATGCTTATGGAATTCCAAAGTAGGAGAATCATTCCGGAATTTGAATAAAGAAGATAAAACTATTTGTCAAAGCCCGATTCTGCACACACCTTCATCGGTAAAATTGGGATCAATTTCAGCTGTTAACAGTAGACAGTTGCCCCTACATAGCTGCAAGCAATCAAGTAGAGGATATTGAATGCAAGATATTCAAGTCATACACCGAAGATCCGATCGATATCTCACTGAGGTTGATGTTGGATTTTCCTGTTAACAATGACGAGTCTCTTGGAAAATGTTGAACCTGACACATATCTTTTCTCCCCCTCCGAAGATGACTTGCAGGAATGATTTTTATAATATATTGCCATTATTGCTTTAACTTTGATGCTGATTTAAATGCCAAAAAGCAGTTGATTGATAAGGCTATTGTTTCTTGACCTATATTAAACATTGACCCGTATTCGACTATCATTCTCGAACACGGATAACGTCATCCGTGCACCGGAAAACCCATTAACCATATAAAACACAAACTTTAACCAATTCCATCATAATCCAGATGAGAAAACCCTAAACTTGTTCCCAAAGAAACAAAAATTCATATTCCTATATCAACACATTCAATTCAATAACAGATAAATTTGCTGTTCTTCCATTCTGTTCAGACATGAAACACCAAAGAAACAGACATACAGATAACACAGTTGAAAATGGGGTGTTACAAACAAGAAAAAGTGTTGCAATGAAAACAGTATCGGTAGAGTTTGCTTTGAAACCAGACCAGAAATTTCGTAACTTTCAGAAACAGCCGATGGCCTTTTTCGGAGTTTGTCCAGTTGCGCGGTACTTTGCTGCCATTTCTTCTGCCTTGAGAAGCTCTTCTCCACGTTTGGCTTCAACCATTGCCTTCTTTTCCTCTGCTTCCTTGTGAACTGAAGCTGCCTTGTTTTTCATTTTCTCTGCATTTTCTGCTTTCTTATTTTCCAATTGTTCCTGCCAAAACTTCCGCATGTTAGAATTACAAATATTCAGATACGCACGAGTATAATATGTCTAAATGCGTATTGAACACAAATGTCGAATGTTCATCCTTTCATTATCCAAAAGGTAAGGATTCGAAAAAGAAAGCGTACCTCAATTTTTTTTAGTTTTGCTTCCAGAGCTGCTTTCTTGCTGTTCTCCCATGCTACAATAGCAGAGAGCTTTTTCTGGCCCCTGCTCCTCAGTTTCAGTCAAGTTTATAAAATATATATAGAATTACATAATATATTTATATTTACACGCAAGTAAAAATATAGTAAACCAAAGAGGGTTTAGGGACTTGCTTGTTCTCTGCTTTGGTCTTTTCACTATCTTCCCATGCCCTGATGAACGACAACTTTTTTTCTTTTTCAACCTCTGCAAGGGCAACATCTGAAAAACCAAAAGACCGACTGATCTTCAATATCATCCATCCGTACGATCACAACAACATAAAAGAATATGAGATTCGGCCACGGTGGTCTAAAAGAGGTCCGAAGGGCTACGAAACAGCATTCGATGATAACATAACGATGGTATCAGAAAAGTATACCTCTGTTATGTGATCCACTTGAAGTTTTCTTTGGTTCTGGCTCCGGGGCTTCTGTCAAAATGAAAAATAATGTTAGAACACACCAGAAGAACATGATGAATGGCAACCAATGATGAAATTAGCTTATGTAAGAAATTTATGTCATGACACGAGACAGGTCACTTCGATATCAAGCAGACATGTACACATCAATGTTTTCTTTTTACTACATCTTGAAAATATGTAGTACATCGTTTGAGTTAAATGAGAGCTCACTCTTTTTTGAGTCCATGGAGAAAAACTGAGGTTGAAGACGAATATCGCAAAACTTGCTCTAAAGCTATCAACAAAAACTGGGAAAACAATGGAATTTCCATCAATTTATATAACATTGGATTTGGAGTTTCCTTCTCCAATCTTAATTGTTCAATTAATTTCCTTAGGAGTCGAGCGTTCATTTTTGAAGTGGAATTCAAAAATTTACTCAAAAATTTAAGTCTTTCTCAATCAAGATCAGGGTTCAAACTTTATATCAAAGCGACCTAATAGCTGTTTAAGTGGATTTTAAAGCAATTAAAGATAAAGTTTTATACTTAGTAATCTTAAGCACTGTAGTGTGCGACAGTTTCTAAAATAACTCAACGACGGATCGATCCGCCCAAAATAATGCTTGTAAACTCCATAATCTGAGTGTTATAAGTTTAAACTATCCATACAACAAACACGATGAGAGTGGAAACAAAGCTTACTCTCAACTACTGCAAGGGCTTTCGGTTCTTCATGTTTTTCGTCCGCTGGCGGTGGAGCCAAGGTTGTTTTCTCGGAATCAGCTTTTGGAACCTCCGTTTCCGGGGCTGGAGCGGAAGGTGTTTCAGCTGCAACCTCCTTTTCCTCCACCATAATTATGCTTGCAAGTGTACAGCTTTCGTAAAAATAAAAATGATAATTTCGTAATGGATAACCCTCGAATATTCAAATATCGATGTTTAACAGGTTAGCTAAGACGCAGGACTTTTATATCCTAAGCAAAGTGCATAGTTTGAAGTCATTATCTGCCGTTGATATTGGATACGTATCTTGATTTATTCGATCCAATGGCGAGTGTGTTTCGAAAGAGACAAATGTGGTGTAGAGTGTAGACTGCAAATAAGTAGGGAGTGAAATATTTTATGCCGACAGGTAGAGCGGTTAAACTGTGCCACGTATATCCAGGGGCGGATGTATCTGTCTCCCTAGGAAACAACTGCACACCCATTTTTTTTTTTGATAAAAATATTAAATTTAATCTAATTTATTAATAAAAAAAAATTATACTCAAAATTTTAAGAATATAAGCATTAAAATTTTAGATTTTCATTTTTTTAATTTTTAGATCCGCTATTGCATATATCGGCAAGTGAGATACAACGACGTGGAGTACATATTAGGGTAAACTACACTAATAATCCTTACAATTTTAGGATCCTTTCATTTTGGTTATCAAAATCTAAAAACTTCTGTTAGAATCACTATCGTTAAAAAAAACTTTAATTTTGATCATTGGGTTATTAAACAAATAATGACAATTGACATATCACGTTAAAAACCCTGAAAAAGCTACCAAACAACGCTACTTCTCCAATTATCATCTATATAGTTATTCGATGATTTGTCCGATCGAAAAAATTCTATAAATTATTCTTCTTTTTTCCTTCGATTTAAACTCATTAAAAAATCTTTAATTTTTCTCAAATTTCAAACGAAATTAAAAGTCAAAACTTTTGAGTTTGTCATTGTCAATCATCAGACTAACATAAAATCAAATTATATTAATCTTCTGACCAAACAAAATCTTCTCACTTTTAAAATTAGGCAATAATCGCTTCGTTCATAAAAAAAATTGGTCTTTGAAAAAGCTATCAATTTGTAATCTTGGGATTTTATAGAAAACTTTTAAAAATTTAACGACTCTATTATAAGTTTTAAAATTTAATAAGTAAAGTGAGAACTTCCTAAAAATTAAGTGATCATTTAGCCTAGATTTTAAATCAGAAAACTTAAAAAGCAAAACTACCATGGTGTGGTGTGGTGTAGTGACGGGAAAAGGGCCCACCAGCAGCATTGATTGCTTTGACGGAATTGAAAGCCCTTTGGCTTGGCGTTGGCCATGCTACCGTTTGGGGATAAAAATACAGAAACTTTGATGGGACCCTTTCTTAGTTAATGTGTATGATTTGATGTTTATTCATCACTGGGTTGGCCATTTATGCAATTATGCTTAATGATTCTTCTTTCATATTATTATTTATAGTCATTATTAATTTAGCAATAAAACAACTTTAGTGTTTGCTTTATAAATGCACGCTACAGCATTACACGCCCAATGCTTTGTTTTCTTCATTAATGAAGTATGCGCTTGGGTTTAGACCAAATCAGCCCAAACAACTGGATAGTTCAGAGCCGCCGGCCCTATCACCCAAAATCAATTACATTAAATTTCGGATTCAGAGTTCAAAGCTTGATTGCAGAAACAATCAAATTAAGTTTCTGATTCCAGATTTAAAAAATTTTCATGGTTAATTAATATTTTATAAAAGATTCAATTCATTTATTTAGTATAAAAATACTTAATCTTATATTTTTTTCGTGATGTACTGCACGTAGTATTTGACTCGACTCAGATTAGCTACAAATTATTCCTTTCCTACAATCAAGAACGCAGATTAATTTTACTATCTTCGGTAAGGAGGATTCATTCTCCGCCTAAACGACGGGTATGCTCTTTTTTGATTAATTTTTTTAGTTCCATAATTTTGTTTTTCATTTCTTTTGGATCAGTTGGTGAAATTTTAACAGATTATTTTGAGAATTTTGTCGTAACAGATACAAGAAATTATCTGATGGCCGATTATATATATATGTATGTATTCATTCTGCAGGAACCTTTCTTCCGATGATTTGTTAATTTCTTCAACTAGATTCGCCTACATTTTATCAAGCTTAATATTGTTATAAGTTTCCCAAGTTTAACATTAATTATAAGTTTCATCTCAGCTAAAATTTTCCAGAATATCTATGGCATTTGAGATGCCACAACACATTTCTTGTTTCAATATGTTAAGCAGAAAAGGATTTAGTTAATTATGTTCAAAGGTAAATCAAGACTGTTTAACTATTCTCTTAGAATTTTTATTTAAAAAAAAATTACGTTAACTTTGCCCCAATGTTTTTGCATATTGTATCAGGCCATAGTCGTATTTGGCCTTTTTGAATCAGCGACCAAGTTTGGAAATATCAGTGAAGAGCATAGTTTTCCATGGGAGAAGCTGCTAAGCTTTTTGCTGGTTTTTGGCCATACGGTGATCAACAAATTCATGGTTGCTTACACAAGAAGGTCGGTATTGGACGCCTCCATGGATTGGTCTCAACCACCACTTTCATTTTCCTCGTCTCTTTCCTTCTTATTGCTACCTTCCTCAATTGGATGCAAATCGTAAGCTTTATTATACCCCAATGCTAGCTTTTTTAACTGTAAGATTATGCACTGATGCAACATTTTCTTTTACTTTCTCAGCCTATTATACAGGGCTCCCCATTGACCAACATGAGTTTGCTTCCCACACGAAACACTAAAAAGCACTATGAAAGGGTTGAAGTTCCACTCAACTGCTCCAAAGCTGCTCTGCAAGGTAGAAAATGCCCAGACAATTACCCAAGGGTATTCGAGCCCGAAGAATCATCAACCGAAACTTGCCCGGACTATTTCCGGTGGATCCACCACGATTTACAGCAATGGAAAACTACAGGCATTACACAAGATATGATCGAAAGAGGGAAACCGAGTGCACATTTTAGGATTGTGATTGTTGGGGGCAACGTTTATGTGGAGAAATACAGTAAACCGTTCCAAACCAGGGACTTGTTTACGAAATGGGGTATTTTGCAGCTTTTAAGGTTGTACCCCGGAAAAGTACCGGACTTAGACCTTTTGTTCTTCAGTGGAGACAAGACTCAGATAATGAAAAGAGACTACCATGGACCTAACGCTACATTTCCGCCGCCGGTGTTTCATTACTGTGGATCGGAGGAAGCGCTGGACATCGTCTTCCCTGATTGGACCTTCTGGGGCTGGTAAATTTTGCTTCTACATATCACCGCAATGACCAATGTTTTAAATCCATCCTGAACCTCAAAACATTTTGATCTAGTACTTATTTGCTTTGTTTTTGAAGGGCTGAGGTTAAAATAATGCCATGGGAGGATACGTTGAGGGCAATAAAGAAAGGGTTAAAGAGGCTCAAATGGGAAGAGAGAGAACCTTATGCCTTCTGGAAAGGTAACCCTTACGTTGCTGAAGATAGGTTAGACCTTATGAAATGTAACCTATCTGATAAATACGACTGGAACGTTCGGCTTTATCATCAGGTAATCAGTTTATTTCTTCAAAATCATAAACCAAGCCAGACAATTTAAAAGGGAAAAGAACTATCCCTGGAATTTGTTGAATTGGGTTTTTGTAAGTTTTATTGTTTTGCAATTCAGAATTGGAGTAAAGCAACTCAAGAAGGGTTCAAGGGTTCTAAATTGGAAGAACAATGCCACTACCGGTACATCAAATTCTAAATACGAATATACTTGCCATTAACTCATGAAAATTTGTGTTTTCTCTTCCTACTTACAAGATTCTGAATTTTGTTATTGAACGAACGGCGCACGAAAGTTACAAAATTTATACAGAAGGAGCGACATGGTCTGTAAGTGAGAAATACATAATGGCATGTGATAGCATGACGTTGATGATAAAGCCTGAATTCCATGATTTCTTCTCGAGAAGCCTGGTGCCAATGGAGCATTACTGGCCCATCCGCCGGAAAGACAAATGCAGAGGCCTTAAATTTGCAGTTGAATGGGGCAATAGTCACAGTCAACGGGTACTTAAATTCAAACATCTCTTGTTCTTATATGAATGTTACCTTGTCATCCGAACTCAAACAAAACTCGAAAATATCAACCTTCCATCCATGAACTTGCAGGCACAGGCCATAGGGAAGGCGGGGAGCAAATTCATTCAAGAGCTTCTAACAATGCGGAACGTGTATGATTACATGTTTCATTTGTTGAATGAATACTCAAAGCTCTTGAAATTTAAACCGACGGTACCTCCAAAAGCCCGGAGGATATGCGTCGAATCGTTGGGGTGCCCGCACACAGATTTAAAAAGGGAGTTCATGGAGCAATCAACAGTGAAGTCACCTAGTAATAAGCTTCCATGTGAATTGCCTCCTCCATTTGAACCTCAGGTCATTCAAGCTTCTCTTGAGAACAAAGAGAAAATGGCTAAGCAAGTGGAGACGTGGGAGACTGTGTATTGGAACAAACTAAATGATAATAAACAATAGAGACCACTTATATAATCTTTTTTTAGTTAATTTTCATCGAAATTGTTAGTTAATTATTAGTGTAGTTTTCCAGTTGATTATGCTAATCATATTGATTTTTTTTTCCAAATTAGACAGATTATAGAATCTGACAGTAGCCATGACCAAAACAACTCACGAATGTAATTAATAAAACTTAAGATTCTTTATGAGAAAGACAAAGTAGATATTGTCCCCTTTTTCTGAAGATAAAATGTGTATCCGTATGCATATTCTTTATTGGAGGCATCTGCATGTTGATATATATGATTCAGACAATTTTGCCGTTAGGGTGCCTTCCTTGTACGGACGCAATATTTTACTTTAGTAGGTAAAAATTTATAAAATTTAAAGGGAGAATAAATATGTAAAAAAATTTGGGCAAAAATATATTTTTAATTGAAAATATAAAAATATATATCTAAAATATATAGGAATTTAAAATTTTTAGAGAGCGACCGGCCCAACAGCTTCCCCTCGATTCATCCCTGATTTTGCCTTGGTTACCATTTTGGCCCCACTAGATGGGAATTCACCACCATTTGAACCAGTTGCTAGTGCTAAAACAATCAAGCATATGAATGAAACTCTGGGTATTTTTTAGACAGCAACCGTCTCAACTACTTCCCTTCGGTTCATCCCTGATACTGCCTCGTTGCTGTTTCGGCCCCATTAGATGGAAATTGACCACCATTTGAACCAGTTGCTAGTGCCAAAACAATCAAGCAGATGAATGAAACTGATATTTTAAGCTTGAATGCCATATTATTTGGGTTTTTTTATTACACTATTTAGTTGTTTATGTATGGAAACAATCGTGATGTCTCTTTTATTGTGTGATTGACGTGCTGTTAATATTTTAACGTATTTCCTTCTCAAGATTCTTGAAGTTCTATAAGTGAAAACAAAGGAGATGTTCTTTTCTGAAGATACTAAAGGTATAGGTGATTGACATGTTTAGATAACATTGTTGCAGATGAACTTATTCAAATATACATAAAAGACTAAAGACCCATATTTCTCAAATATGGAGGGCACAAAGGCTAATCAAGCATCAGACCAGTATATCTCCATGTCACCGCGTTTATCTCCATACACTCCCAAGGCATCCCAAACTGCATCCGAGGCATCAACGATGTCGTTGTCACACGGAGACTGGTAATCATGGTCGGCATCACATCCCATCGTCGAGTCGCATTCATCAACTACCTTAACCTTAACAGTTTCTCCATTTCCGTGAATGTTAATATAATTCATACACCGATTTTTCTTGTTGAACCATCCCGTCGAGAGGGCAACGATTAGTTCTGTATCGTTATGATACTGATGATCACATTCACATCGCCCACCGCCATCTTCACCCGGACCAAATCCATTGAGAGTTAGGGTTGCCTTGGTATGACCCGAAACTTGGGGCGAACACGTATACGTGGTGTAAAGCTTGCCTTCTTCACAACAGTCAGAATCATGGCCGTGGTTACATTTCCCTGCTGGAGGCTTTGTCCCTCGAAGCTTGCCGCTGGGTTTGCAGGTACCTGCTTCAACCATGAAGCAAACTCTAATACGTAAAACAAAGCAAGTAAATAGAAAAATAGTGGAAAAAGGCTTCATTTTCTTCCGTAATTACAATTGCTTGGTGCCATGAACATATAAGATGTGAGGTTTATATACATTTATATTTCAATGAAATATTTTTAATTTGTGTTTTTTAAATTCTACGACATCACTTTAACAATAATTAGAAACATTATCAATTTAAACATATTAAAATATTATAAAAAAAATTTGGAGCAGTTAAGTTTTATTTTTGTTTTTGTCATTTGATATAAAATTGGACGTGAAATGAAAAAATAAATATATTTGAAGGTTAAAATGAGATAAGATGTTAGAGTGTAAAATGAGAAAAATATGAATTAAATTTACTTTTTATTAAAGAAAATAACTGCACATCAAGAATCGGTTAACTGAATGGAATGAAATATTAAAATCTTTAAATAAAGTTAACGATTTAAATCTTGATGTTGCGAATGTAGTAAATTGAAAATTTATAATATCTAATAGATTAGTTTAACCTATTTTGAGTTTTTAACAACCTACAAGATAATCAATCATCGAAACTGACTTTAATGAAGGTTGTCAATATAAATTAGTTAAATCGATTTGAACTTACTTTTATTCACCTTTGTTCTACATAACGATTTTAACAACGAAATTACCTAAAACATATTTTTAATGGTTTAATAAATAAATTTGACAGAATTTGTAGTGTTCCCAGAAGAAATATCGTTTTAACCCTAACTGACATTAAATTATAGGTTCGATTTTGAATTACCTCTTTCTTTATGCTTATAAAAGAATAAAGAAAAAACAGATAGAAAACATAAGATGTACACACAAAGAATAAATCTTTATTTAAGTGTGGGTTGAACATAAGCGTAGAGGGAGAATATAAGATGTGTGACTTTTAGCATAGTCTCAAACACACTGTGTTAACACGTCGCTAACGCACAAGACATGTTTATTCAAGTATTGAAAATATGATCAGAGAAATCAATCATCTGACCAATAGACATCTGTTTCGCCCCAATCACTTTCAGGAATTCCAAGAGCTTTCCAGACTGCTTTTGAGGCATCAACGACATTGTGAGGACAAGGAGGCTGGTAATCATGATCCGAATCACATCCAGCAGTAGAATCGCATTCATCTATTACCTTAGCTCTCACACTTTTCCCATTTCCATGGATTTTGATATACTTCATGCACCTCTTTCTGTTGTTAAACCATCCGGTCGAAAGTGCCGCCACGGGGTCATCATCGGAATGGTATTTGTTGTCACATTCTGATGGGCCGCCACCGTCTCCGCCAGACTCGAAACTGTTAATCGTCAATGTTGCTTTTGTATGGCTGGACACAGGAGGTGAACATTTATAGGTAGTGTAAAACTTCCCCTCTTTGCAACAGTCGGAGCCATTTTCGCGGTTGCATTTTCCCGGTGGAGGTTTCTTCCCTTTAAGCTTGCCGCTGGGTTTGCAAGTATTCCCTTCAACCACGAAACAATCTGCAAGAACAAAAGCAAAGCAAATGAAAAGAAAAATAGTGGAAAAAGGCTTCGTCTTCATCTTCAATTTCCTTTGTAATTGCTATTGCTTGGTGCCAAGAACGTGTAAGGCTGCGGGGGTTATATAAGAATCAACCCTCTCAATGTTCCAAAATTCATCGAGAGTATCGCATGAAGCTGCACAATGTGTCACAAGGGTTAAAATTTGCCATATTTTACATAACCGGAATCTTTACAAGGTTAAAAAATTATACTCGTGGCTCTGATTCCAGCAATGTCGAACAATACAAGTAACAAGGATGCTATCTTGTTTCTATTTAGGCATGGAATAATTTAAACTTTAAGCAGAAGAATAAGACAGGCTAGAATCTGACTAAGCATATAATTAAAGACTGCATGTTTGATTTTATTTGAATTTTAATATGATATATCCTAGGAGAGTTTTACGTCTTTTAAATGAAAAGGGATTCCCTTCAAAAACATTGCCATATTAGGCTATAGCACATTCATCTCCAAGGCATCTGCTTGTCTATATTTGTTTCACTTAGTCTTTGCCGTTCACACGGACAGAGCCGGAATTGAATAACAAGAGTGGCTAAATTGTTAACTTTAAGTGAATAAGAATCTAATAAATATTTAATCTAAATTTTGCGAGAAAAAATCTCATAAATGAAGTGATAATTATGAAAGCCAGGCCGGATTCCTAGGCCTTTCACACAGGTGCCCTTCAACAGCAAACTATATACATTGCTATTGAAATTAATAGAATAAAGAGTCATCTGCGCGTTAGATCGATGTCGATATGGGAATTATTGTGCATATCCATCGATCGTGGACCAGGCCATACACCTGCCGGCAAAGATGGAGTCGGATTTTGAGTTGGTGAAATGCCTGGTGGAGCTACTAGATTATCGACACTCCGATTACCGGAGTCATTTAGACCATCTTGGCCTATGTCTTTTTTGTTCTTCGTCTTCAAACCGCCCCAAAGAAAACTTCCCACTATCACCTGGTTCATTCATTGTTTGGTTAAGATAAGCTAAACGATTGATTCGGTCAAGTTCAATGATGGTCCATAATTATATTTAAGCATACAAACAATTTGAGCAGCATGCGTAGGCCCAAATAACAGAGGTAAATCACCAAATCATAAATAAGAATGGCAAAGAACATTAGAGTTTGGCATGGCAACCAAAAGGGTTACCTGAACCGGGCTTGCGGCGATAAGCATCCCTCCAACACCTCCACCAATGACATGGCCATCAGGATTGGCAAGGGAAATACTAAGACTGCCAGTTCGATTGCGTGAGCCACTATCGCTGGTCAGGAGGTACGAGCCTGATAGACATAATATCTCAATTCTCCCCCGAGGAAGTCAAATGGAAAGATAAATATGCATCAGGATAAGAGATGAGCTATCAACAGGCACACCTAAAACAACATTCCTTACAAAAATAGTCTTAGTCTAGCTAATCGCCATGAAACAATAAAAAGAACTAAGAATCGAGTTACTGAGTGCCAAACCTCATACGTGACGGCACCACCCAAGGATGAAGGCTGATGAAGAGTTACACTAGAAACAGCCCCGTTGGCTGACAGAATGCACACAGCTCTTGGCCCTTGCTGTGAGAATGACATTAATCTTGTTGCAATATCCTACGCAAAAAATTCAAAAGTAATTTCAAGACAACTTTGTTCTAGCAATGTCTACTGCATCGGCATGGTCATAATGTTCAAGAAAAACTATAGTACTACACGGGACCAAGCAGCTTCTTGCCTATCACAAAATCTAGTATATTTAGTTTAGGCAGCAATAAATAAAAGAAAATTGCATACTTCTCCTACTGCGACGGTGATGACATGAGGCGTAAAACCCATCCCTGATGAACCAGGGAGGCATACACCTAGCAAAACAAGTGGATATTGGCAACATTATATACATAGCAAGAACAAAATATGCCAGAATTAAGCATTAATAAAAATAGTTAAATAGGTAGCCTAGAAATCCAGTTATCAAACATGCTTAGTTAACACACCAAGGAGAATGAAATTTCAGGTTTACTGGGATTGGATAAGAATCCTACCAAGGGTAGCAAGTTGTTGGTTCCTTCCAGTACCCGGTGGCCTCCCTGGTTCGGTGTTATAGTCCCAGGATGAGTAGCTAATGCGGCAGGAGTCAACGCCAACGAAACAGCTCCAGGCGGTGCGTACTTTCGGGGACTTCCTCTTTTCCTTTTCACAGTTTCACTAGGAAGCATCGCTGAAGGTGTGCCTACATTGACATTGTGAGGAGTAGTAACTCCTAGTGAAGACTCCACAGGTAAGGTTGATCCCATGGTAGTGGCACTAATAGTTGGTTGGTATTGTACATTTGGGCTAGATAATATATGAATGCCTGGTGATCCATGCATCCCGGACCCTGAACCAGTTATTCCTCTCTGTTGAATATAACATGACCCAGACCCAGATAATGCCATAGCATCCCTTCGATCCATGCATCTACCTCGTATAACCTATACTTGAATGTGCTTTTAAATCAACTTAATTACAAGCTTATTTGAGAAGTAACTAAAAGGATAGTTCAATGCAAGGAGGTTAAAATAAAAGAGAAGAGCTCATGAAGCTCCAAATTGTAAGAAGTCAATGAAGAACTTGTTTACGGGTTCATATCCCAACAAATCAAACTCAGAACACAAATCAAAGAGATACTTGTTAGCGTTACAAACGAAGCTCTCTTAATCTAGAGATGAACAATGCTTCTAAAGTTAAAACAGAAGAACTCTTACCAAGACTGCAAGCAGGAAATTGAGAAAGAAGAAACAAAGAAAGAGTTCAAAATATCAAAAGCTCAGAACTTGAGAAAGAAAAAGACAATAAACGCAAGCTATTTCACAGCTTATCAAACGACCGGGAACAAAGAAAAAGATCCATGTGAAAAGATAAAAAGAAGCAGATGGAAACTCGAAACCAGGTCCACCATCCAAACACGCTAACCAACCCAAAGAAAACAATTTACACGCGTATTATTTTTTTCTCGAAGTATACAATAGCTGAAGCCATGCCATAAAAAGGAAGTCATACTGAGTTGGAAGAAGAACTACAAGTCTACAACTCTCTTAAAACACTAAGCAAAAATGGGTATAATTTGCTGCTTCTTTCCTGGAATCAAAAACCCAGAAAGAGGAAGTAACTTACATTAGTGAACTGTGGTTAAAGGTGCAGCCTTTTGAAGTAAGAAGCTTTGAAGAAAATGGGGACTTTTTGAGAGAGAGAAAGTTAAGTAGTCTTAGTGAAGAAGAGGTTAAGGCCTAAGGGAATCAAAATAAGACTGGGGAATACTGAAAAGAAACCATTGTTGTGTGAAGGAGGGAGGATGGATGCCTTTTTTGTTGTCCCTTACAACGAAAAGCTCCTTTTCATACAAATACACAAGTCCTTATCGGGATGCATTATTTCTAGGGTAGAGCTTTGTCTCTGTCTCTCTCAGCCTTCTTCACTTCACCATGATAAAAGCTGTTTATCTTTCTTTTCTCGGTTTCTCTACTCCGTTGTTGTTGCTCTCGTTTTTCACTTGTTACCTGAAAAGGTTTTATCATTATACTTATCTTGAGAAAGGTTTGCTGATTCTCTCTGTCATCTTCTTCTGTGACAAATGGGTGAGTGAAATCGTAACGATGTTTTTGTCTTGCTTTTGTAATTTTTTTTTTGCTATTAATCGGTTTTTTTCTCGAAAAATCACTGGTGATCGGTATTTATTGATCTAACATCGATCAGATTATATTTTTTAATAACACCCGTAGTAAAACGCGTCTCTTGTTCCGCGCTATATGTTGATTTGGCGCCACGTGAGTATAGCGCGCCCCCTGTACCGCGTTATACGCTGACATAGGTTACACGTGTGTATAGCGCGCCCCTGATCCGCGCTATACGCCACGTAGGGGTATAGCGCGGATTAGAGGTCGTGCTATACACCACATACCAGAATTATATTTAACGCAGTCTCTGATCCGCGCTATATCTGAATAATTGCATATAGCGCGATGCAAGTACCGCGCCTTATATGGTTATAAACACCTTCCTCCGCCGGTTAAGTTTCTCACATCTCCTGGCATCTCTCATCTTAACTTATAAATTAATACAACAATTCACTCAACGAGTAATAATTCATGCAATCTTCTCATATTTAATTTAGAAGTTCGTGTGATTTTTCGTTATAAGGTAATTTTGTTATAATTTTTTAATTATACTTATTGTTTATTATCATTATTTGAAAAAATATTATACTAATTATTTTCAATTAATTTTTATGTTTGTAAAATTGAAAAGCGGTAGCATACATCGAAATAGTTTTGCGGTGCAGGTAATAATATAATATTATATTATTTAAATTATTTACGTTGATGTGTAAAAAATTTATTGTGTTATATTTTCGTTCATATATAATTTATTTAATCAGGTTTGTTTCAGTTATTTTTTTGTAGATATAATATTGCTGCACTTTTAAACTCAAAGAATGGCGCAACTTTAAGCTATTGTTTATTATGATGGTGAAATTTGAGAAGACGAAATCGGCGTTGTTTTCGTATCAAATGAGCGTGTTAAAATATCATTCAAGAGAAATAACTCTTGAGGAGCTGATAACGAAGATTTCGAGGAAGATTCAAGTTGGAAGTAGTAGAAGAATGTCGTCGTTACAGTACAGATTTCCAACATCATTGTTGCCATTAACTTATATAGCGTTCGAACTTTCGAACAATGATGATGTTCAAATGATGGTTGAAGCTCAAAGTAATTATTCAGACGCCGCTATTGAGATGTATGCACATTTTGTTTAAGTGCGTGCTGTTCGGGTCAATCATTAAGCTCCCACTATGGGCTGGCTGAACAGTTGAACAAGTTGACAGCCCGACTACAGTAATGTGTAATGATTTTAATGCCATAATGGGGAGACATTCATCCGCAACTCCTTACGATATGTATCGAGGTGGGTCCACGAATAATTCGTTTGGCAACACCGCGTCCAGTTCAAGGGGAAGATATTTGTCTGCAAATTTCTTTGAC